GGATTAAAAGGGGCAAATCAAATTAGAAGACAGACACAGAAAGATATGTATGGAAAGAATAGGCAAAAAAAAGACTCCCTTTTGTGGCTGTTTCTGGAATTTCAATTTTGCTTATTTTGTTTTTTTAATGGCATGGTGGGAGCAAGCTCCAGTTTCTAGTCCCTTCCCTCTGTTCTCAGAGTGGGCTGATCAGGCTGCTCTCCACATGGGTCAGATGCCCCACGAACTGCTGGGGGAAAGGGGGTGAATCCAATCAGGACTCACCCCAACTCCTCTGCTGCTAGGTCTTTCACTCTGATTACATGCATCTGTGTCTGATCCAGTGTGAAGGGTGAGACATATGGCTCCCTGGTATCGTGCACTTGAAGTATTCTCTCTGGGCAAACGATGGTCAATCCCAGTGGGGTGCAGAGATCACCTCTCAGTCTCAGGGTGCAGGCTGTTCAGAATTGGGTGAGCTAAAGAATTTCTCTGCCTGGTTTTGGGACAGAGAAAATGGCATCACCCCATGTCCTCTCCTTCTGCATGGCTCAGCTCTAGATTTCCTCCCTGTGCTTTCTCCACAGTCTTCTCTGCCAGTGCCTGGCCTATCACTGCAGGTGGTGTGTGGGCCAGGTGCTGGATACTGAAGCAGCTGATTTCCGCTGCCTTTTCCTGAGAGATGTCCTGAGAATGTTCCTGCCTCAATGACTATTTTTAAAGACTGTAATCGATGAGATCATTTGCAAATGTATAACTGAGGAAAATTTGATGACATCAAGTTCAATTAAGCTTCTTTGGAGTTAATGCCAGAGAGAAAAATACCAGAATGTGACAAACTTAAAGAGCTAAAACATAATGTGCCTGGAAGAGGAATGGATAACATAGACCCTAGGGGGGAAACGGGGCAATGAAGAACAAGAATTTAGGGTGTTTAGCACTATCCTAAGACATATGACACTTCTGACATGGACTTAATTTGTTCTCTTCCCAAATTCACATGTTGGAACCCTAACCTCCAAGGTGGGGTGTTTGAATATGGGAATTTGGGAAGACTATTAGGTTTAGATGAGGTCATGGAGTAATATCCTTATGATATGACTACAGTGCCCTACTAAGAAGACAAACCAGAGAATTTGCTTGCTCATCATGTGAAGAAACATGAGCTGGCCATTGGCAAGGCAAGAAGAGAAATAACACCAGAGCCCAACCATGTTAGCATCCTGATCTTGAACCTCCAGCTTCCAATAGAAATAAGTTTCTGTTGTTTAAGCAACCCAGTCAATAGAATTTTGTTATAGCAGCTCAAGATAGACTAAGATAGACTGAGCAGACTAAGATCTGAACTGTTATATGACAGGTCATTTTCTGATACTGGAAGAGGATCCTCTCCCTCTCCAATTCAGTTGGTAAACATTTATTAAAGACCCACTGTGTTCCATGCCCTGTAAAAACGCCGAGGATTCAAAGATGACCAAGACATGGGCTCCTACCCCCAAGGAGCTGAGTTATTAAGAAACAAAGATATAGCTGGGCTCGGTGGCTCAGCCTGTAATCCCGTGCCTTTGGGAGGCTGAGGTGAGTGGATTGCCTGAGCCTGAGGGTTCGAAACCTGCCTGGGCAGCGAGACCTCATCTCTACAATAAATAAAAAAATCAGCCGGGCATGGTAGTGCATGCCTGTAATTCCGGCTACTTGGAAGGTTGAGGCAGAAGGATGGCCAGAGCCCAGCAGGTTGAGGCTGTGGTGGCCGGGAGCGGCCACTGCACTCCAGTCTGGGCGACAGAGTGAGACTCCAACTCAAAAAAAAAAAAAAAAAAAGAAACAAATATATAAAAGAAAAACTGAAAAAAAAGTGTTGTATGTACTCTGATAGAAGTATGTATAGGGGCCTAAAAGGTTAGAGTTTCTATCTGCGGTTGGAGTGCTGTAGGTTTCTTTGGTCAATAACCTATCAGGTTAATTCTAAGTTCCCCAACAAAGTCAAAAGTTGCGTCTCTCAATGTGGTGACAAACCCAAGGCTTCACATGATAAACCCTGTTGAGTAGTCACCATTTTTCACTCTGATCTCATCCTTTCTGCTATCTATAACAGCAACCTAGTCTAGCAATGAATAAATTCCAAGAGTTTTCAGTGACAGGCACAAATTTCAGAGATCTGATGGGGGAAGTCAAAAAGGCTAGTACTAAATAGTAATAATGTTTGGTACTATGGTGGCTGCTCACTGAGAGGTAGGAAACAGTTTGCTGCATGCCCTACATAGTGGAACAGATTATTGGTACTAGCTTAATGTACTCTTCAATCATTTCGACACTCTGTGGATTTCCATTTCAATTCTTCTTTGGGGCCCTGAGTATTTTAATAGCATTCTGATTTAGTTATATGAATTGTAAGTGTGTATGTTCATAAGTATCCAAAGCCTGTTACTTGGAGACATGGGAGATAGTCCTAAATGTATCACTTTTTGGCCTCACATCCCTTTTGCTGGCTAAGTCCTACTCATCCCTCAGCCAAGGCCCTATTTTCTCTGGGAAGCTGTGCCTAAACTACACCACCCCTGGATTGAATGGGTGCTCTTGCTATGAGTTCCCTAGCACCCCTGTAGTTCCTGCCTTACAGCACTTAAACTGTTTTGCTTAACTGTCTATATCCTCTACTGGAATGTCAAATCTTTAAGGACAGGAACAATAGTAATCTTGATTGTGTGCCTGAATCACCAAAGGCTTTCTCAATAACGTTTTGTTTTTGTTTTCTTAAATGCATCTACTTCCAGAGCCAGCAAAACTAGAGGACCAGATGAGCATTAAGTTTATGATGTCCTTACCAAGGTTCACCCAATGAAAGAAGTTCAGTTAAAAACACTCATTAATCCAGTCCAAGCTGAGAACACAGAGTACCAGAGTCAGACTGACATTAAAATGGAGGCTGCAGGCCAGGCATAGTGGCTCACATCTGTAATCCCAGCACTTTGGGAGGCCAAGGCAGGAGGATCGCTTGAACCCAGGTGTTCAAGACCAGCCTGGGTAAACATAGCAAGACTTCATCTCTACAAAAAAATTGAAAAATCAACTGAGTATAAGCATCTGTAGTCTCAGCTACTCTCAAGGCTGTGGCAGTGGGATTACCTGAGCCAGAAGGTCGAGGCTGCAGTAACCTGTGATCTTGCCACTGTACTCCAGCCTGGGCAACACAGTGAGACTCTGAGAGGTGAATAATAAGCTAGTTATTTATTTATTTATTTATTTTATTTTAAAGATGTGGGTGGTACAATTCAGGGTTAGATATGTAAGTAGTCACTGTACATAAGCTAGTTTTGAATAGAGATGAAAGCAATTGTGGATAGGGCTGGAACAGTTGTCTAATGAAAAGAAGGGTGAAGACAGACAGGCTTTATGTAGATCAGAATGGTGGAATTAGAATCTTCCCAATTCATTCATTTAATCCATATTTAATATCTATTTCAAGATGAAATCGAACATTGAATTTTAGGTCAAAGAGTTTAGATATGACAAATAATAAACAATTCAGATAGACACATAACATTATAAAAGCTATAAACTGTATCAGAAAATGATTATTTAGCAACTAGGCAGGAGCTGACCTAGAGTAAAGAGGACCTTATGAGTGAAACACAAAAACAGAGATGGCTTGTTACAAAGTGGGAAAATTCCTGCAGATCAGGAGATCGGGGGAAAAAAAGTAGGAAAAAAATGTGACCTATGCAGACAAGGTTTTCTTCTAATATTTTCTCTGCCGGCATATCATAATGTCTGAAATATCTGCCATAAAAGAAACTCTTTTGGTTTAAGGCACTGTCTTTCAAAAAACCTTGTTAGCATGCAAGAATATGTTACTAAGTGATAGTAACATTCAGTGCAGTGGTAGCTCTGGCCTCTTACTCTGATCTCACTCTGATCTTTCTTTCCTCCTAGAAATATGGATGTCTGGATATGGTCATCCATAGGAGAGATGTGTCCAACTTCCACATAGTGGAAAAATAAATTGCTTTACTTGCATTCTTTTTTCCTTTTCCTGAGAATTAGAAAGGAGATATAGTAGAGATCCACTTTTTTGGGGGTGGTAAGGGGGAGGAGGTGTTGAGGTCTCACTCTTTCATTCAGGCTGGATTGCAGTGGCATGACCATGGCTCACCACAGCCTCAACTTCCTGGCGATCCTTCCATTTCAGTCTCTTGAGTAGCTGGGACTACTGGTGTGTGCCACCATACCCGGCTAATTTGAGATCCACCTTTAACCTTATATCCTAAGCTAGAGCATGGCAGAGCTTCCTGATAGAAAGACATGGGTCTCTGAGCAGAACACAAAGCAGAGTAGCCCTTAGTATCAGTCAACTCAGCCAGTTTCATTAGAGAAAAATAAAATTCTATTTTCTTTTAAGCATACTAAATTTGCTGTTCCTTTATTATAGCAGACTATATTGTCCTAATATGAAATTCATAAGCTGGCATAAATTTGAAATTTAGCCATCTCTCACCTAGAGAATGGGAAGAGCCTGACAGTCAAAAGAAACAAGAAAGGGTTGGATCAGAGCATTCCTTAGGGAAAGGTAGACTCAGATGGGCCTAAGATGGAGAACTCTGGGTAGTCAGCTAAGGAGTAGGATAACGTCTTCTGACATAGAGATGGAAGAATCAATGAAAATACTTCATGTACTTAAAATTTTTGGTGGGATCAATCAGTTACAATAATTCACAAAAAGTAAGGTAAAAATGGAGAAGAGGCAGGTTAGCACGGAAAGTGAGGATAAAAATTGAATGGAGGCTGCATTATGGTGTTTAAAAAAATAATTCAAGGCATTAGAGCCTAGGCAATCATGAATCATGAAGCTGTGACAGTTAAATGTAAGTAAGAGCAAGCTGTTGCCTAGCTGAAGAGAACAGTGAATTTGGTCTTTCCCATGTTAATTGTAAATTGTGGTAGTACATTAAAGTAGATATGTCCTTATACAAATTAAGATATATGATGAAGGGGGTGTTTTTAAAAAAGGTAGAGAGGTTAGGTTGGAGATGTAGAACATTATCAATTACATGGAAAGAGTAAGGGCGAAAAATATTGTTCAAAGAAATGGCCACATTTCAGCACATTGTATGCATAAACATCACATATTTCATTATCCATCTTGATAAAAGTTTCTAATCGTTATGTTCAGCATACTTTCTTATCACCTCTAAACTTGTACAGAAGTGTCTTCTTGAACTTCTTCATCTTTATTTTGATGTTCAACTTTCTGGAGAAGTCTGGGGCCCAGCAAACCAATAAGTAGACTTCCAATTGGGGCTGTGATGAGAATGGACAAAAATGCCACTGTTAACACATCCATTCCATAATCTTCTAGCTGTTTCTCTCCATGTGATCTTGCTGTGTCTAAAGCCACAGATCCTATTGCAGCCTATAAAAGTTTAAGGGTAAAGTTGGAAACATGGTAAGCACGTATTTTCAAAAGTAAATTTTAAAATCATTTGCAAAAACAAATTGCTTGTTCTTTTACTCAACTAAAAAAAGTTATATTAGCCTTTCTTTGAAGTGTACTGCAGTTGGTTTTTTTTTTTTTTTTTTTGAGTCAGTGTCTCACTGTGTCGCCCAGACTGGAGTGCAGTGGCCGCTCCCGGCCACTGCAGCCTCGACCTGCTGGGCTCTGGTGATCCTTTTGCCTCAGCCTTCCAAGTAACTGGAACTACAGGAGCGCGTTACCACGCCCGGCTAATTTTTTGATTTATTGTAGAGATGGGTCTCGCCAAGTTACCCAAGCGGGTCTCGGACCCGCAGGCTCAGGCAATCCACTCACCTCAGCCTCCCAAAGGCATGGGATTACAGGCTGAGCTATCCAGCCCAGCTTGCAGTTGGTTTTAATTGTCTCAAAACTCTCCCTGCCCTTGCAGGGGGACAGATTAATGAGCCATATGTACCTATTTGCATAAGGCAGGGTTACATAAATATCAGGCAAATACATTTCACAACACAAGGTAAATCCTGATTTGCAATATTAATTATATAGAACATGAAGTTCTATATGATAAATTTTTCCTGAGTAAAGATGAAAGTTACTGATCTTTTTGTTCTTTTATCTTTAGAAATTTGGAATTAAGGAATAACAAGATGAGCAAAATGCAGTGATGCTTATTGAAGTTGGTGAAGTTTTAAATGAATTTGTATTGTTCTATAGCCTAAACTAATTGTCAAATTTGAAACATGAAAGTGGTGAGCATCTTAAAAACGTCAAGTTAATCTTATTAAGTATTTGGTTTACTATTTGCCTCAGGAGTTGGTGAAATGTTTGGTGAAAGTTGGACCCATGGGTTGAGGGCACATATGGGATAGTGGTCACCCTGCCAGCTCTGGAATGCCCAAGCTGTACTGTTGGTAAGAAACAGAAATCTGTCTCACGTAGTCCCTGTATTTGGAGGTTCTTTGTTATTACAGGTTACCCTGTGCCTTTTATGAGTTTTTAGCAAGAACTTCAAATTTTACACTGCAATGTTCATTTCTCTTTCAGTTCTGTTGTGTGTCTACGTATATGTGCATATATGCTTAGGGGTGTGTAAGTATGCTGACTTGTGATTTAAAATAAATTTCTTGTGCTAGATCATGGATAAAAATTTGAAAATGCTAGGTCATGGATAAAAATTTGAAAATGCTAGGTCATGGATAAAAATTTGAAAATGCTAATATAGAAAGTATACCTAAAAGGGTCTTGTTTTTTGTGTACTGCCAAAAGAAAATTCTATATGATATTTACTCCCACCAGTCATACATTATCCAACACACCCTAAATAATTTCTTATTTCACAATTTGCTTTGATGGTAGGAAAGTGTCATCTTTCAAATTTTAACATTTAGAAACAAATATTTCATACCCAAACTACTGGAGTCTTTATTATGATATTTTCCTACTAAAGTTACCCGAAGCAGTGTGGAATGGAAACACTGTGAGAGAGAAATTATTCACAGTACCTTTGGCCATTATGCTTCAGATATCTTTGAAAATCTGATGGGAAGAAAAAGAAAACACTTCCCTACAATAACTCCCAAGCCCACAACCACATAACATTTGAAATATAATTAAAGAGCACACAAAGCCTCCTTAACTAAGAACATGTGATTTTCATTCCATGAAAATAAAAATGTATATATTTAAATAATTGCAAAATACTCAGGCAACTTAACAAGTTAAATCTTGTTTGATGTAATTAGTCTGGAAATATGCAATGCAATCAGGAATGTATTACATTTGCAACAATAACAATCTACACAGTTCTAATTTAATTAGAAATATAAGTATTTTACCAAATGCATGGTCAACAATTTTAAGTACCTATCTATAAATGTTTTCTTTATCACTTGTTTCTTAAGAGTGCACAAATTTTGGGTCAAGTGATTGAGACATTTATCAGGAGGTTCAGCTGCCTTTGAATAACTAATAGCAACCAGTAATATAGGAACTCAATAAAGCATTTTTAAAGTTGTTTTTCAATAAATCTTCTTTTCTCTGTTATATATACTCAGATCAAACACAATTGGTCATCAATCATATTGACATTAAAGCATTTCCAAACATTAAACTGGACCATGCTATTTCTGTTTTATTGGAAGATATTAAAATGAAAAGAGTTAACAATCTTTTTGGGGGGCGATTTAGAGAGCTCTGAATGATAAAAGTTCAAACTCCTCTCTCCTGCTAAATATTGCTTTCTAGTAGAGTAGGGATTTATTAGATTTTTTAGTTGTACTCTGGTGATCTAAAGACATTTAAATGAGCCATCAGATTTAACAAATCAATATGCCAAAAATATGATTTTTAAAGAGTACATTAGATAAACTCTTCATAACTCCAACTTAAATTATTTATTTTCACCAAATTTAAATAAATCCTTTCATTCAATACGTCAAGGACCTTATAGAAATATCAGTTGAAATGCTAAGATATCCTATTCATCATACCTGAACTGTGGCCTTAGGAAGCCATGCAAAAGAAATAAATATCTTTTCCTTTATGTTAAAACCAGCAAAACACACCATCACAAATGTAGTCAAAATTCGTATCAATACTGCAATGCCCAGGGTGGCAACACAAAGACCTGTAAGAAAACTTGATTTTTAGAAAAAATGAAATACTAGGGGAGAAATTGCATCTCACAGTTATTAATTCAAAACACTATCAACAGAAATAATTTTTAAAATATTAAAAATACAAAAATGGTTAGGCATAATTTAGTAAAATAATCAATATTAAGGATCAATCAGACTATTTGTTTAAAATAAAGTATTCCCCCTAAGTTAAAATGAGAAATTAATTAGACATATTTGAATTATTATACAGAAGATTTGGGTGTTATAAATCTCTTGTGTTTTATTTTATTTTTATTTATTTACTTATTTTTGAAGTCAGTGTCTCACTTTGTTGTCCAGGCTGGAGTGCAGGAGCATGATCATAGCTCACTGCAGCCTCGAACTCCTAAGCTCAAGTGGTCTTCCTGTCTCAGTCTCCTGAGTAACTGGACTACAGGTGGGCATCACCATGCCCAGCTAATTTTTTGTTGTTGTTGTTGTTGTTTGTAGAGACAGAATGTCATTATGTTGCCTAGGCTGTTCTTGAACTTATGGTTTCAAGCTATCCTATGCCTTCGTCTCCCAAAATGGTAAGATTACAGGAATCTCTTATGCTTTCTAGCAAGAACCACAATCTCTTTCATATGTTTATTTAACAAGAATGTATTAAATGATATGATACATGACAAGACTTGAATTTTGCCTTCATGAACCTCAGAGTCAGAGGAAAACAGAAAATATAAACCAACTAATTCATGTACTGTATAGTAAGTTAAGAATAAAGAAACTGAGGGTGTAGAAGAGGAGGAAATATTTTCACTAAAGTAATTGAGAAATCTTTACAGGCCAGATGTGATATCAGCCAGTATGGAGGGAATCAACCAATCAGACAGAGTTGGCTAGACACTGACCAATCAGAATAGACACTGGTAGTCTGCTACTGTTTCACCAGAGTGATGTGTTCTGATTACAGTTATCCCTGGATGACATATATAGTTACTTCATTCAGTCCTTTAGAGCTCTTTGCTCATAAAAAAAAGGTTCATCCTCATTTGCAAAATAAGGGATTGTGACTAGTGTTGCTGCATGCTGCTGGTCCTAAGAATGGCAAGCTAAGGTGACTCCTGAGTATTTGTCAAGTGTTTACTCATGCTGGTGTTGTACTAAGTTTTAAATGCATTATTTTACTTAATCCTTACAACCTGTGGGATGATTATTCTCATTTCACAGTTGAAAGAAAGGAAGTTCAGAAGGAAGAAAATAACTTTCTCAAATTCAAAGGGCTGGTAAAACACAATATAAGCAGGATAATCTGTTGTGAATCTGCAACATGGTTTCTTTATGGGAAAGTTTTGTGGCTCCTTGTCGCAGGTTGGTAGGTATAAAAGTATCTGTTGCCTGAAGCACAAGACACAAAAGAGCTGATACCACTCCCAGAAGGAAACAATGAAGGTTTGTGGAGAGGATGATGAGGACACTTTAGACACGCCATTTGTGATTTTACTTACAAGTGGTGATGTCTAATCAGGAATTGGATATACTAATTTAGAGATAAAGATTTTGGAATTATATAGTGTATAATTGATGTCACTGGTGTAGATAGGGTCAGAGAAGGAATATAGAGAAGCATAGAAGGCCTTAGAAAGAACTTTGATGGTAGGACAGTGTTTAAGCTACATAAGGTATAAAGAAGGACCCAAAGGACACTAAAAAAGAAATGAAGCCGGCACAGTGGCTCACACCTGACATCCCAGCACTTTGGGAGGTGGAGGCCAGAGGATTCCCTGAACTCAGGGGTTCGAGACCACCATGGGCAACTTGGCGAGACTTTGTCTCTACAATAAATAAAAAAAAAATTAGCCGGGTGTGGAAGGTTAAGGAGGAAGGATCGCCTGAGCCCAGCAGATAGAGGCTGCGGTGGCCGTGAGCATGCCACTGCACTCCAGCCTGGGTGACAGTGAGACTCCTTCTCCAAAAAAAAAAAAAAAGGAAATGAAGTTTCAGAACTCAATGTAAAAGAGTGCTTTAAAGATGTCAATAACAATAGCAAATGCTGCTGAGAGTCCAAGTAAAACAAAGGTTGGAATTAGCAGTTTAACCTTGGTGAGAGCTTGGCTGGTTGTGTGATGGTGCAGAAGCTGAGTTTAAATGTATTGAGGAAGGAATAGGAGTTGAAGTGGGAAAGGGAAATGTACAAGGAGGGACCAAAAAAAACTGGAATTATTTTTTTGGAGGGTGGGCCCCTTGTAGTACAGGTTTCCCTCACTAGGTAAGTGTTTTAGGAACTCATAGGCATCAGTGTACCAGCTAGCATTGTTGTGAGAGGCATGCCCCACCCATTCTATTCACCCAATCTTGCCCTGAGAGACTATTTTTTGTTTCTATGGATGAAATATTTTGCTGATGTGGAAGAGGTGAAACAAAAAACAGTAGCAACACTTAAAAAGGTATCAAAATTGACGAGTTCAAAAATGGTTTTGAGCAGTGAAAAACATCTCAATAGGTATATTGCATCAAATGGAGGGTACTTTGAAGGTGACTGAAGTTTAAACATGTAAGAATAAATACACAATTTTTAAATAAACAAATTCTGAGTTTTTTGGGGGATCTCCCTTTGTAGTTACTTCTTTTGAAAAGTTTGAAAAGAGGAAGAGACAGGTAGTATAGTAAGCCAGGGGAGAAGTGAAATGGGGAAATATTATAAATGTATATATATTTTAACATATTTTAACTTTACTACATATTATTTTAGTTGTGGTAACACATAACATTAGCACCTTAACTATTTTTATGTGTACAGTTCAGTAGCATTAAGTACATTCACACTACTGTGCAACCAATCTCCAGAACTTTTTCATCTTGCCTAAAATCCCAGCACTTTGGGAGGCCGAGGAGAGAGGATTGCCTGAGCCCAGGGGCTTGAGACCAGCCTGGGCAACTTGGTGAGACCTCATCTCTACAACAAATCACAAAAATTAGTCAGGCGTGCATCTGTAGTTCCAGCTACTTAGGAGGCTGAGGTGGAAGGATTGCCTAAGCCCAGCAGGTCGAGGATGCAGTGGCTGTGAGCACGCCACTGTACTCCAGCCTGGGCGACAAGAGTGAGACTCCGATTCAAAAAAACAATTTAAACTGTATACCTGTTTAACACTAGTTACCCACATCCCCCTGCTCCCAGTCCCTGGCAACCACCATTCTACTTTCAGTATCTATATTTTACTACTCTGGATACCTCAAATAAGTAGAAACATACAGTAATAGTCTTTTTGTGATTGGTTTCTTTCACTCGGTGTAATGTCCTCAAGATTCATCCATGTTGTAGCATGTGTCAAGATGGAAGGATTTTTTTTTTTTAAAGATAAGAGAGACTAGAAACTTTAAGTTCTGAAGAGGAGAAAATTATGATAACTATGTATGAAGATGCATAAGAAAATGAAAGAATATCTATGTGAGATTTGGAAGGAGGTAGCAGGTAAGAGGATTCCTACCATGGATAGGAGGGAAATACTGTGATGGAAGGAAAGGAGAAAATAATGGGTATATGTACACAAGATAATTTTTAAGTGCAGTGCTGTGAAGAGAGTTTTAATATGATGGCTTTTGAATGTATGAATGAATAAAAAAATGATTAAACAACCAAGCACTTCTACTCCATGGTTAAGTACCATAGAACTAACTAGTTGTCTTTAAAATTCTGGTTCTTGGTTAGAATAAGGCTAGATGAACATTCTTTTTTTTGTTTTTTTGAAAGCAGGATTTAGTGAGAGGACAGAAAAGCTCCCAGTAGGAGGAGACCCCAGGGGTTGCCCTGAACATTTCTTATCTTTGGAAAAAAAATTTAAGGTTTGAATGTTCTGGATAGTAGTCAGCAGTGTCACTTTTATATACAAGGAACAATATTAAAGGTGTAAAATTTACTATCTGATTAACAAGCATTATTTTCTAATCAACTACTCCAAAATACTTAGATCATAATTAACTTTTTATATGACAGTGATAATTAAAATCACTGTTTACATGTATACTAAAGATATCTTAACTGAATATAAAAAATGAATTTGATTGGTTGACAAAAAAAAGTAAATTTTAGCAAATTACTGCCCTGAAATTCTTACCAACAGTTTCTGGTCTGAGAGATGCAATGGATACCTCTGCTCCGATCAGTCCAAAAAGAAGAGGCTGAAAAACATCCCAGGAAATTGCAATAATCTTTTCAACCTCTGCCTAAAAAGAAAAAAATTATATATATTTTTATATAATTTTTATTATATAAAAATTATATATATATATTATAACACACACATACATTTTTATGTGAAGTTACAAATACCAAAACTTTTACTAATTTGAAATTTCAGTCATAGGCTTTATTTCTGTAACTAAGAGGTTAGCTAGAACAGAGCAATAAAATTGCATGAAAACATTTCTAACACAGTTAAGATATGTGAGATGCTTTAGCATACTAAGTATTGGTTTGTAAATGGATGTTAATTATAGAGTCTTATAAAGTAATCTTATGAGAACTCCTGAATATGTTGTTTGTATGTATGTGTGTGTCCATATTGTAATATATAGCATTATTTTGAAGTTTAAAATTTTATGTCAACTTTCAACAATATGATTTAGAGGGTTTATAATATTAGTATATATATATATCTAGATATGCACCTTATTATTGCTGCATAGTAATCTTCAGTATGTTAGTACCCTACTCAGTCATTTCTTTATTGATTTATCATTGTTTCCAATTTTACTTTATCTTTACAAAAAATACTGTTTAAGGTTATCTCAAATCATGCATAAAAATTAAACTTCAAGTATAGTAAACTGCAGTGTCAGTTATCAATCTATTGCTCCTCATCTCCAATTCCTCTTTCATTGTTCCATAGATAATGGAGCTGGGTCCTTTAATACTTCTCCTTTGCCAGCTAGAACCATGTTGAATTTTGTCAGTTGTGTGCTGAAGAGGTACTGAAGAGGAAAGTGCTTTTCTTCCTGGTTTCTGTGGCTTCTCCCAGCGAGATCTCACAGCACATGGTGGATTCTTTAGCACTAGGTTTCTGCATCCCAGATGGCTTCTCCAGTATCAGGATCCTACAGTGCATGGCATCCGGTAGCACCCAGTGGCCATTAGCTTCCCCTAGTTCACACCTAGGACGGTTTCATAGATTACTTTCCATACACCCTCAAGGATGAATTTCCGGAAAATTAGGAAGGTAGATTTCCAGCATATTCTACAGGCACAGCATCACAGCAACTTCTCTACCATACAGTGAATCAAGGCTCTAATAAGGTCTGGATCTCAGCCCTGCAGGCAGGACTGGGGAGGGAACGGGTAGAAGGGGATGATTTATTACAGTTGTAGGTAGTCATGGCTGATATTTCTCCTATATTCTTTAGGGGATTCTCTACATTTTACTAGCCCAATACCTTGTTACTCTTGTTTGTTTTTCAGTTGGGGTCTCACTCTGTTGCCCAGGCTGGAGTGCAGGGAAACAAATCACAGTTTACCACAGCCTACATCTTCTGGGCCTCATCTATGCCTCAAACTCCCAAGTAGCTGGGATTACAGGAGCGTGACACCACACTTGCCTTATTTTTTTGTAGAGATGTAGTCTCGCTATGTTGCCCAGGCTGCTCTCAAACTTCTGGGCTCAAGCAATCCTTCTGCATGGACCTCCCAAAGTGCTGGGATTACAGGTGTGAGCCACAATGCCCTGGTCTCCTGTGATGGTTAATAATAAACTTTCCCACCTTTACAATGAAAACTACAAAACATTTCTCAAAGAAATCAAAGAAGACACAAACAAATGGAAAAATATTCCATACACATGAATTGGAAGAATCAATATTGTTAAGATGTACGTCCTACCTAAGGCAATCTACAGATTCAATGCAATACCTATTATATTACCAGCATCATTCTTCTCAGACCTGGAAATGACAATGCAGAAATTCATATGGAAACATAAATGACCATGAATAGGCAAAACAATCCTCAGCAAAAGAAACAAAGCAGAAGGTATCACACTTCTGGATTTTAAACTTTATTATAATGCTACAAAAATCAAAACAGCCTGGTATTGGAACAGGATAGAGATTTTGGGAGTAAAACCTCAATTTCTCAACCAACTCATCTTTGATAAAGCCTCCACTAACAACCACTGGGGAGAGAAGAACCTATTCAGTAAAGGTGCTGGGAAAACTGGCTGACCATATGCAGAAGAATGAAACAGGACCTCTATCTATCACCATACAGAAAAACAACTCTAAATGGACCAAAAACCAAAACATAAAACCCCAAATCATAAGAATCTTAGAAAATGAGGGAGATACCCTTACAGAAATTGGAATAGGCAACCAATTCCTGATCAAAAACCCCAAAGCCCATGCCATAAAAGATAAGATAGACAAGAGAGACCTCATTAAACTGAAAAGCTTCTGCAAAGCTAAAGAAACCATGAAGAGAGTGGGGAGACCACCTGCAGAATGGGGAAAAAAATATTTGCCAACTGTATATCTGACAAAGGCCTAATATTCAGAATCTACATGCCATCTGTGGAACTCAAATGTGCCGAAAGGAAAAAAAACAAGCAGCCCTATTAAAAAGTGGGCAAAAGATATGTATAGACACCTTTCAAAAGAAGACATACAATCAGCCAACAGATACATGAAAAACTGCTCAGCCTCACTAATCATCAAAGAAATACAAATCAAAACTACACTGAGAAACCACCTAACTCCAGTCAAGATGGCCATCATTAATAACTCAAAAAACAACAGATGTTGGAGAGGATGTGGAGAAAAGGTAATGCTTCTACACTGTTGGTGGGAGTGTAAACTACTACAACCTCTGTGGAAAATGGTGTGGTGATTTCTAAAAGATCTAAAATTCAACCTTCCTTATGACCCAGCAATCTCTCTTCTGGGAATATACCTAGTGGAACTCAAATCATTCTACAAAAAAGATACCTGTGCACGCATGTTTATTGTAGCACTATCCACAATAGCAAAAACCTGGAACCAACTGTGCTGCCCACAGAAAGTGGACTGGATAAAAAATGTGGTATATATACACAATGGAATATTATGCAGCCATAAAGAAGACAAAATTATGGACTTCATGAAACTTGGATGGATTTAGAGTCTCATACTCAGTGCTCTATCACAGAAATAAATGAGTACCACATGTTCTCACTCAAAAGTGGACGCTTAGTATAATATTACATGAAAGAGACTGGCTTATTATGAACACATTATAATATTATAACACTTATTATAATATTACATGAAAGAGACTGGCAGTAGCGGGTCATTGCCAGGGGACTGGGAGGCACCTAACATTAATAAGGGTACCTGATCCCAAACCTGGTGAAGTGAGAGCCAATGGGAGGCCCAAACTTCACCTGTATGATGACCATTTATGTACCTAATCCTGAATTGTACCCCATACCTTCAAAATAATTTTTTAAAAAGACTTTCCTTATTGTTGTTCCTATATGATTTTTCTTTCCTCATAGGGCCCTAATTGTTACAAGTACTTATTGTATAACACAATGCAAAAGACCCTAGGAAAAGACTAATACAATTGACTACAGTAAAATTAAAATGTTTTGTGGTAAAATAAACCATAAACCAAAAAAAACCACAAAACACAGTGACAAACTGGGAGAAAATATTTGTACCACATATAACAGAATAAAGAACAAGAAGCAATCAGTAAGAAAAAGACATAGGCCCTAACAGAAAAACAGACAATGAATATGCACAATTCACAGGAGAAATGCAAATAGCCACAAAACTTAAAATGCTAAAAGTCAGTAATTAGTCCAACACAAATGAAAATGATATACCTTTTTGAAAGGGCACACCACATTGGAAACAATACAAAACATTTTAATAATAAAAACTATTTTTGAGACTCTATGGAAACTCACTAATAGGCAAGACAGCATATTGATAATACCTTTTTGGAAGGCAGTTTAGCAGTACCTGTTACAGGGTCTAGGAATTTTTTCAATTAACTAAAAAGTATCTATATTTTTGGATGACATTTTTATGCCTAAAATTACACATCTTCAAGAATCTGTCATTCCATATTTATATAGCAGGTCCTCAAATAATGTCATTTCTTTCAGTGTCATTTTCTTATCATGTTGATGAGAAATTTTTAAAAATTAATTCTCGGCTGGGGTGACTGTCTGCATGTTCTCCTCATGTCTGTGTGGGTTTCCTCCAGATAATCTGGTTTCCTTCCACATTCCAAAGATGTTTGTGTTAGGTGAAGTGGCATGTCTACATGATCCCCGTCTGAGTGTGTGTGAGTGTGCATGAGTGCTTCCTGTGATGGAATAGTGCCCTGGTCAGGGTCAGTTCCTCCCTTGTACCCTCAGCTTTCAGGATAGGCACTGGCCACATACAACCTTGAAATGGAATAACTGGGTACATAATTACCTTAGTTGTTCTAATTAACCTTTCTGAAATGCATGTATAACTCACACTTTAATGTTTAATATTAGTAGTGTTTTGGTCTTTTTTTTTTTTTTTTTTGAGTCAGAGTCTCACTCCGTCGCCCAGGCTGGAGTGCAGTGGCATGCTCACGGTCACCCCAGCATCAACCCATATGGCTCAGGCGATTCTTCTGCCTCAGTCTTCCAAGCAGGCGGAACTACAGGCACACTACCATGCCTCGCTAATTTTTTGATTTATTGTAGAGATGAGGTCTCCCAAGTTGCCCAGGCAGTTCTCCAACTTGTGGGCTCAGGCAATCTCCTCAGCTTCACCTCCCTAAGTGCTGGGATTACAGGTTTGAGCCACCATGCAGGCCAACAGTTTTTGATAAAAATTGTCATGACCCCCAAGTCCCACCCTCCCTATTCACTTGATCTTGTCCCAAGCGACTTTTTTTTGTTGTTTCCCCAGAAAAAAAATCTTCAAAGGGAAACATTTTGCTGATGTGGAAGAGGTGAAACAAAAATGTGGCAGGAGTACTAAAAGACATCAAAATTGATGAGTTCAAAACTGTTTTGAATGGTGGAAAAAGCATCTTCATAGATGTATTGCATCAAACAGAGTACTTTGAAGGTGACTGAAGTTTAAACATGTAATAATAAATACACACTTTTTTATACATTAATTCTGGGTTTTTTTTTGGTCTACCCTTATATATTTCACAGTAAAAGAAACCTTTAAGAAAAATTAAAACTACAGAGGAAATCTCATAATCAGTGATTGATAGATCTGATTACAGGAAAATATAAGTTTTTGAGTGTTGAACATGAACAATATAAATGGGCACAAAGGACTGGTATCATAATTTTCCTTTCCCTCCTTTTTTTTGTGCTCGCAGTCAATGACCACTTGCAGAAGGTTTATGTCTTCCCTTGACTTCTCTGTTGCTAAAACTGCTCTTTTATGCTCTACTTCAAATGATATGGCTCCTTTGCATTGTTTATTCTTTTTATGCTATCATTTAAACGTTTAGAGACTTACTTTTAAGCTGCAAAGTTTCAAATGGCAATGTTTTTAATGCATATGGTATTACTCAAATAGATGTCAAAATATAAAATGGTGTCATGCACAAGAATGCTACAGTTGTATTATTGGGTCATACATGTTGCCTTGGAGTCAGGTAAACCTGAACTTAAATCTCAGTGCCACTTTCTAGTTTTGTGATCTTGCATATGTTATTTAAGTCTAACTTCCAGTTTCTATAAAGTGGCAACTGTAATACATTTTAAAGGGTTTTGTGTATGTGTGTGAAAATAAACAAGAATATCTACTTACCGCCTAGCACAAAATAGCAATACAAATTTATTAATTCCCTACCTTCCCTTTACCATTACTGTATACTATGAGTTTGTTTCAATATTTAATGATTTTTAAGAGTTGACAACAGAGAGAATGTATCTATAAAAAATTCAACTTGAAAAAACCTACTACAAGCAGATTTGATTACTACAAACTTTCCTGTTGAATAAATGAAATAAAGCAAAATATTTAAATAATTACAGAGCTATAGACTTTAGGCTATAGAACCTCAGATGATTTTCTTTCCTCTTTTCTCTGAATTAAAAAAAAATTCCCTTGCTCAACACTGAACATATACTACTTTCATATTTACAAATAAACTTTTTTTTTTAAAATTTATCTCTTTTTTTAATGTTGAAAAAAGATTATCTTAAGAAGTTAAGGAACAATACGTACAATGCTTATGCCAGGTAAACTTCCTAGTTGTTTCCCAATGCCAATGCAATAACATCCCTTCAATAAATGAAAACTGTGAGTTTTGTCCTGGGGCAAAGGAGCAGATCAGTGTTTCAATGAGCAGAGTTCATTAGCTGGCAAATTAGCTAGGAAGGCGGACAGACAGCAGTGAGATCTAAGAGAGGAGTGAGAGAGGCAGTCACACCCCTTTGTCCTGAGTTGAGATGAGACAGAAGACTAACTAGTGATGTGTGATAACCTTGCCTCAGCACACAAGGAAAGTCAAGTTACGGAAAAACAAATGTTTTGATAACAGTAAATGTCTGTGAGAGATGAGGGATGATAAGAGTAGCCAATTTATACTAGGAAATATCTCTTTTAGCTTTGTTCTTGTCAGATGTTAAGTCGCTTAAAATTAGAAAGTATATGATCTTGTCAAGTTCAAATCTATAAAAGTGCATCTGGAAAGTAAAATAAGTAAATAAAAACCAGCTAATTTCCATGATATATATAAAGAAAATGAATATTCTTAATGATTTTGAAAACCAGTAAGAAAAAGCAAAACAACCTTGTAATAAACGGTCACAGGATTTTGAACAAACTGGCAAGTAATCATATAGAAAGATGATCAGCTTTACTTATAAAGAAATGCAAATCAAAAATGAGATATATTTTTTTACATTTTATATATTTTCACCTACCAGATTGGCAAAATATCTGAAGATTTAAAATCCTCAGATCAGAAAAGGAGAACACTCACATACCATTGGTGGAAATGTAAACTGGCCCAGCCTTCTAAAAGGGCAAATTGGTCATACCCAAAGTATAATTGTGCATACTCTTTCCCAGAGCAATCCTATTCTAGAAATTTATCTTATAGATGAACTCAAAGGCTATTTTATTGTATTTAAAAACTACATAAAAAGATATAAAAATGACATTAAAAAGGTACTGAAGTATTTAAAAACTACATAAAAAGATATAAAAAGATAATTAGCTTTATGATCATCACTCTGTCGCCCAGGCTGGAGTGCAGTGGCACAATCATGACTTACCACAGCCTTGACTTCCTGGGCTCAGGTGATCCTTCCACCTTAGACTCCCAAGTAGCTGGCGCTACAGGCATGTGCCACCATGACTGGCTAATTTTTTTTTTTTTTTTTTTAGAGACAAGGTCTTGCTATGTTGACTAGACTGGTCTCCTACTCTTGGGATCAAGCAATCCTCTCACTGGGGCCTCCCAAATGCTGGGATTACAGATATGAGCCACTGTGCCTGGCCTTATTGATTTTAAAACACATATTTTCACACTTATAACATTAGGGTGTTATAGTATACCATAATTGGCAGTATTTGTTTTCTTTTTTTGGTGGAATATAAAATAATGGCTTTTTAAAAAAAGAGTTGATAGCCTTAGAATTAGTGAAATACAGTACACATAAGGATATTTTATTTTATTTATTGTATTTTTTTAATTTTTGAGTTGGAGTCTCACTCAGCTGCCCAGACTGGAGTGTAGTGGCTGCTCTTGGCCACCGCAGCCTTGACCTGCTGGGCTCTGGCGATCCTTCCGCCTCAGCCTTCCAAGTAGCTGGAACTACAGGCGCATGCTATCACGCCCGGTTAATTTTTTTGATTTTTATTGTAGAGATGAGGTCTCGCCAAGTTGCCCAGGGGGGTCTCGAACCTTTGGGCTCAGGTAATTCACTCACCTAGGCCTCCCAAGGCGTGGGATTACAGGTTGAGCCACCAAGCCCGGCCCATAAGGATATTTTATTGAAGAACTATTTGTCTTGGCAGAAAACAAGAAACAACCTAAAAATCTGTTAGTAGGCAATGGTAAATAAAGTATGGTATAGCTGTACAATGCAATACTCTGCAGCCACTATAAAGAATAAATAAGGCATCATGGTAGTGTGACCATGATATATTTTAAGTAAAAATGTCAAATTATAGATTGATACATAAGGGGAAAAAAGATGTTCATTGGGTGTACCTCTGTATATGCATAAAAAATAGCTTTTCTAGTTAAAAATTTTATTAATTTGATCATTGTGAAGGGGTTTTAGAAAAAAGTATGAATTTGATGTTAAGAAAGTCTCTAGAAAGAAAATTTAATCTGATCAGAAAAGAGTCATGAGAAGAAAAACTTAAAATGAAACTCACCTTTTTGCTGGTCCATCTCATGCCTGCAAGGAAAGCCATGATCAACGTGCACAGTCCTCCTGATCCAGGGAAACCAAAATACACGCTGCTGAATACAGCTAGCACGGAGAACCCCAAAACAAGGAATGCTCTCTTATACACAAGTTTGTCCTTTAGGATAAAAAAAACAAACAAAACAAAAAACCTCAAATTTTAAAAATAACTGAATTTTAATGGTTGATTTTTCCATATCCAGGATTTAGAGGAAAATGAAAATGCTGTGCAAACAAACAAAATAAATGTATGATATGACATTTCTTTTCTTTAACACATCAGAGTTAGCACATGTACAAATGTAGGTATCTCTTTCAGGAACACCAATCCTATTTGGATCTCTGCAGTTATCAATGCATAGTTTTACAAGACTTAATGAAGTAGTAGAAAAAAAGTTTATGAGCCAGACAAACTAAGATGAAAATTATAGCTTTTTTACCTCAATGGTATATGTAACGGCAACAGTACTTAACCCATTCAAGTTTTGTTTCCTCATGCCTGAAAGCATTTACATCACAGGGTTTTTGTGAAGGTTAAAGATATCAATCATCTTTATTATTTTCAGGCTCTCTATTTAACCTTTAATGTACTTGCTGGGCTCAGTGGCCCAGTCTATAATCTCAGTGGCTCAGTCTATAATCCCTCCAACCACAAGAAAGTCTAATAAAGTAGGCATATCTTATAAGAAAAGTATGCATGTTATGGGAGACAAATTTCAAAACAGGCATAAGGCAAAATGTATGCACTTTTTTATATGTTTACTTGAATAAAAGTCAACTTAAAGGGCCTAAGAAAATAATAAAAACAATATTCATGATTCAGAGCTAATTTGTTCTACCATATTATATGTACAGGCTAAGGAAATAGATTTAGTTATGTTTTCAAATTCCAGCACTTTGGAAGGCCGAGGTGAGTAGACTGCATGAGCCCGTGGGTTTGAGACCAGTCTGGACAACTTGGTGAGACCGCATCTCTACAATAAATAAAAAATTAACTGGGCATGGTAGCATGCTGGGGTGACCGTGAGTGTGCCACTGTACTCCAGTCTGGGTGGCAGAGTGAGACTCCAACTCAAAAACAAACAAACAAAAAAAGAGGTTACAAACTGTGAGTAATTTTATTTTGTTGTTTTAAAGTCTAAGGACTGTGTACTTTTCTCCCTTTGTTTTTTCCCTGCTTGCCTTTTAAACTTCTTTATCACTTTAGAAAGTGGGTCTTCTAAAATGCTTGACTTGGAGGCATGCAAGCTCTGGAGGTAGTTTACCAGCTTGATTGCCATTTCTACTGCTCTCTAGCTATGTGGCCTTGTTTAAGTCTCTTATCCTGTCTAACCCTCAATTTCTCATCAGTAAAATGGTTGTATTAATATTACTCTCTTTAAGGATTGTACTAGAACAGCACTTACCAATAAATTGTTCAATGATGACAAATGTTCTATATCTGTGCTGCTTACTGACATGTTCTACATTGATTGTAGACACATATAGCCAGTGGCTACCATGCTAAACAAAGTGGCACTAGATGATGTTTCCCTCCGTCTCTCCTTCCTTCCTTCCCTCCCTCTTTTCCTTCCGAGATGGTGTCTATGTTGCCCAGGCTGGACTTGAACTCTTCAACTCAAGGGATTCTCCCACCTCAGTCTCTTGAGTAGTTGGGATAACGGGTATGTGCTACTGTTCCTAACTACAATTAAAGGTATTGTGATACCCAAAATTGGGACCAAAAAAGTCATTATACACCTTCATTTAGTTGAATATTTAAAAAATTTTAAACTTGCATACTCTATTATTTTTGAATTGATGTTCTTTTTTACACGGAATTTAATATGTGTAGAATATAAAACAAAAAATTCCAGAACTACATTAAAATCTTCTATATTTACCCCTTTTTTATAAAACTCATGGACAGCACTGACATAGTGGTAAGCAACTTAAAAACGAGGACAGTTTTCTCAAATGTCTTTCATATATGGTTTTAAGAGATATTCTCAAGAACCTTTTTGGCATCAGGGACTGGTTTCATGGAAGACAATTTTTCCATGGACCAGAAACAGGAAGGTGGTTTGGGGATAATTTAAGCACATAACATTTACTGTGTACTTTATTTCTATTATTATTACACTGTAATATGTAATGAAATAATTATCCAACTCACCATTTAAAAAAAGAGGCGTGGATGGACGTTTATATAAAATAATAGGCAGGCCACCCTTGGACTAAAATAAGTGTTAGATTCTGGCTTAAAGCCTGCTACCAGATGCAACTGTACAATTGAAGTACATCAACTCACTTGCCACTCACTGATAGGGTTTTGATATGAGTCTGCAAGCAATTGGTTTATTATGGTCTCTCGACCTCGCTGCTAATGATAATCTGTATTTGCAGCTATTCCTCAGAGCTAGCATCACCACCTCAGCTTTATCTCAGATCATCAGGCGTTAGATTCTCATAAGGAGAAGGCAACCTAGATTCCTCACATGCACAGTTTGCAGTAGGGTTCCTGCGCCTATGAGAATCTAACGCAGCTGCTGATCTGACAGGAGGTGGAGCTCTGGCAGTAATGTGATGGTGTAGGCTGTAAATACAGATGAAGCTTCACTCACTTGCCTGCCACTCACCTCCATGGTCTGGGAGATTGGGGACCCCTGTTTTAGAATGTTCATCCAATGATATTTTATAGTATGACTTTCTTATAGATTATTTTTTTCACCTGGTCACTGCTTGGAAAGTACTGGATAAAAAATCCAAGAAGAGATCCAGTAGCCACACCAATTACCACCTCCAAAACTCCTCTGAGGACATTAAAAACTGTAGAGCCTGAAAAACACATCAAAAGAAAAACTTCAGACATAACATTAAATCCAACAAATGCACAAGCTTTGATCTATAATCATTAACATAAAGCATCTCATTATGTAGACAGAAAATTTTAAAGACAGTTTCTACTTTACACATTCTTAAATATATGTGAATTAAAATGCTGGTGTGTGGTGGCTCATGACTGTAATCCCCTCACTTTGGGAGGCAGAGGTGAGAAGATTGCCTGAGTTCAGGGGTTTGAAACCAACCTGGGCAACTTGGCAAGACCTTATCTCTACAATAAATTTAAAAATTAGCCAAATGTGGTGGCATACATTTGTCCTGTAGTTCCAACTACTGGAAGGCTGAGGTGGAAGTATCATCTGAGCCAGCAGGTCGAGGCTGCAGTAGCCCTGAGCATGCCACTGCACTCCAGGCTGGGGAACAGAGTGATACTCCAACCTCCCTCCCCCCACAAGAAAATCTAATAAAGTAGGCATATCATATAAGAAAAGTAAGCATGTTATGGGACAAATTTCAAAACAGACATAAGGCAAAATGTATGCATCTTTTTGTATGTTTACTTGAATAAAAGTCAACTTAAAAGGGCCTAAGAAAATAATAAAAACAGTATTCATGATTCAGATCTAATTTGTTCTACCATAATATATGTACAGGCTAGGGAAGTAGATAGATATAGTTATGTTTTCAAATTAACATTTAAGAGCCTGATTATTCAATGATAAATGCACACTGACTTTAGTAGTTCTCATATGTATAGAATGCAATAACTTAAGAATTTGGCAATTAAAATCAAGAATCTTCTTATTGTCATGAGTGCATTCCTCCTCCTCAAATTGTTTATTCTAGATGTAAATCTGAAAACAGTTTATTCTTGAAAATGTCTTTAGAAGTCCTTTGATGCTTAGCTTCTTTGAGCTATTGTAATATAGAGATAAGTAGAAGCTACATTTTCTCCCATGGCATACAGAATTTGGGAAACTTTAATTTTAAAAAACTGTTAGCACATTGTGCATAAAATTATATTAAAATTGCTCCACACATAAAGCCCTTCTTCACAGACAGTTCTAAGAAAAAATACACTAACTAGTTTTTGTGGTTTCTTGTTATTATAGCAGTCATCTTTCTTATCTAAAAAAAAAAAATCCTCCCCTCATGGAAATCGGAACTGGCATCCAATTCCTGTACAAAACCCGAAACCCACAGGTCATAAGAGAGAAGATAGACAAGTGGGACCTTATTAAACTGACAAGCTTCTGCAAAGCCAAAGAAACCATCAAGAGAGCAGGGAGACAGCCTACAGACTGGGAAAAAGTATTTGCCAACTCTAGGTCTGACAAAGGCTTAACATCCTGGATCTACAAGGAACTGAAACATACTGAAAAGAAGAAAACAAACAACCCCATTATAAAATGGGCAAAAGATATAAACAGACACTTCACAAAAGAAGACATCCGAGCAGCCAACAAACACATGAAGAAATGCTCAATCTCATTAATCATCAGGGAGATGCAAATCAAAACCACACTGAGATACCACCTAACTCCAGTCAGAATGGCAATTATCAACAACTCAAAAAATAACAGCTGCTGGAGAGGGTGTGGTGAAAAGGGAACACTTCTACACTGTTGGTGAGAGTGTAAACCAGTGCAACCTCTGTGGAAAGCAGTGTGACGATTCCTAAAAGCTCTAAAAATCGACCTTCCATATGATCCTGCAATCCCCCTACTGGAAATATACCCTGAAGAACTCAAATAAGAACTCTATAAAAAAGATACCTGCACACGTATGTTTACCGCAGCATTGTTCACAATAGCAAGAACCTGGAAACAACCATGCTGCCCATCAAAAGAGGACTGGATTAAAAAAATGTGGTACATATACACGATGGAATACTACGCAGCCATAAAAAAGAACAAAATCATGAATTTCACAGCAACCTGGATGGAACTAGAGTCTATAATACTAAGTGACCTCTCACAGAAACAAAGATCCAAGTATCACATGTTCTCACTCATATAATGAACCTTGAACATCCAATGTAATACTATAAGAAAATGACTGATGGTACTGGGAAACTATGGGTGGGGGAGGGGGATGGGATTAACAGTAGAAAATATCTGTCTGGGGATGGGAAAACACCTCTTATCAACAGAATGCCTGAATGAAACATAATTGTACACCTAACCCTCAACTGTATCCCAAAAAACCATAATAAAAAATATTGATTAATTTAAAAAAAAATCCTCTTCAGCTATTTAGTATGATAGCTTTCTGCTAGGTAATGGTATGACTGTCAAAAGCATCTAGCTGTGATAGTAGCCTTGTGCTCAAGCTATAACAGTGAATAATTTACAATAAATGTGTAGAAAGTGTCTAATTAACTTCAGTCTCTGGTACAATAAGGTTGTTTGTTTGTTTTATGTATTGAGGATCCACCCCCCAAAATTCTGATACAGTAAGTCTAAATCAGATCCAAAAGATGTAAGGATCACTGTAGTTGACAGGGAATTGAAAAGGGGGAGGAAACATAGCAAAGTCAGCAAGGGAAGTTCTTCAAACTACCCACACCCATCACCCCAGACTGTGAAAACCCCAACTGCCTCTGTTCTTCCTCCTACTCCCAACACAATTTTAAGAAAAACTGTTACCTCAAACTGTGGTTATTATCCATGCTGCACTGGTTTCCATCCCCAAAAGTTCTGATCAAATTGGTCTAAGGCAGGGCCCACATAAGAGTACTTTTAAAAACTCCCCAGGTTTCTTTGAGCAGTGCTTTGTAGTTATTATTGAAAAGGTCTTTGACTTCTCTGGTTAGGAAGATGCTAAGGTATTTCAATTTTTTTGTGTGTGTGGCTACTGTGAATGGGATTGTGTTTTTTATTTGGGTTTCTGTTTGTTTATTATTGGTGTATAGAAATGCGACTGATTTTTGAACATTTATTTTATACCCTGAAATTTTGCCAAAGTCCTTTATCAGTGCAAAGGAGGTTTTTGACAGATGCTCTTGGGTTTTCGAGGTATAGAATCATGTTGTTTGCAAAGAGGGATAACTTAACTTCCTGTTTTCCTATTTGAATACCCCTGATTTCCTTCTCTTGTCTGATTGCTCTAGCTAGGACTTCCAATACTATGTTGAACAGGAGGGGTGAGAGTGGGCATCCTTGTCTTGTTCTGGCTTTCAGGGGAATGGTTCCAATTTCTGTCTGTTTAGCAGTATGTTGGCTGTGGGTTTCTCATAGATGGCTCTTACTATTTTGAGGTAGGTTCCATCTATGCCTAGATGTTCAAGCGTTTTTGCCAAGAAGGGGTGCTGGATTTTATCAGTGATGATGATATTATCACGTGATTTTTATCTTTACATCTGTTGATGTATTTCATTACATTTATGGTCTTGCAGATGTTGAATCAGCACTGTATCCCGGGAATGAAGCCTACTTGGTCACGGTGGAAGATTTTTGAGATATGCTGTTGAATCTGGTTTGCTAGAATCTTGTTGAGAATTTTAGCATCTATGTTCATCAAAGATATTGGCCTGTAGTTCTCTTTCTTTGTTGGATCTTTACTCGGTTTGGGTATCAATGTGATGTCAGCTTCATAAAATGATTTGGGGAGAGTTCCATTTTTCTTAATTGCCTGGAATACTCTTTTTCTTTTTCTTGTTTTTTTTAGTTGTAGTCTTACTCCATCACCCAGGCTGGAGTGCAGTGGCATGCTTACGGTCAACCCAGTGTCGACCCGCGGGACTCAGGCAATCCTACCACCTCAGCCGTCCAAGTAGCCAGAACTACAGGTGTACTCTACCATGCCTGACTAATTTTTTTTTTATTTGTAGAGACAAGGCCTCACCAAGTTGTCCAGGCTGGTCTCGGACCCCTGGGCTCAGGCAGTCCTCTCGCCTCAGCCTCCCAAAGTGCTGCAAAAACAGGCTTCAGCCACTGCACCCAGACATGCCTGGAATACTTTCAATAGGATCAGTATCAGCTCCTCCTTGTATGTTTTGTAGAATTCTGCTGGAAAGTCATCTGGTCCAGGGCTTTTTTTGTAGGTAGTTGTTATTGGTCTATATAGGGTCTTGATTTCTTCTTGTTTCAACCTGGGGAGGCGGTGTGATGTAAGAAAGTCCTCCATTTCATTTAGGTTTTTGAGTTTGTTTCCATACCAGTGTACACAGTAATCTCTGATAATCGTTTGTATTTCTTTGGGGTCAGTTGTGGCTTCATCTTTGCATTTCCAATTGTGTTTATTTTGGCTTTTTCTTTTTCTTGGTCAGTCTTGCTAGGGCTTTTTCTTTTTCTTGGTCAGTCCATCAATTTGCTTATCTTTTTAAAAAAAACAGCTTTTGGTTTCATTTTTTTTTTGGTTTTTTTTGGTATCATATTTTTGTCTTCTATGTCCCAAATTTGGGCTTTTATTTTGATGATCTGGATTCTTCTGCTGAAGTTAGGGTTTTGGTGGTCTTACTTTTCCAGCTTCCTTAAGTGATTCGTTAGGCTGTTAACTTGTGATCTTTCCATTTTCTTCATGTGTGTTCATAGAGATATGAATTCCACTCTTAGGACTGTTTTCATGGCATCCAGGAGATTTTGGTAAGATGTTTCTTCACTTTCATTTGTTTCCAGGTATCTTTTAATCTCTGTTTTGATGTTGACCCAGAAATTATTTAGCATCATGGTGGTTAGTGTCCATGTCTGTGGATTTGGGGGGAACTTTGTTGTTGTTGATATTTATTTTTATTCCACTGTGGTCTGAAAAGGTGCATGGCAGTATTTCAATCTTATGGAATTTGTTTATGCTTGATTTATGGTCAAGTATGTGGTTGATTTTAGAGTACATTCCATGTAGTGATGAGTAGAACGTATATTCCATGGTTGTTGGGTGGAGTGTTCTGTAAGTATCAATTAAGTCCATTTGGTCAAGTGTCATGTTGAGATTCTGGATCTACTTGTTGACTTTTGACTTTATGATCAGTCTAGGGTTGTTAGTGGGATGTTTAA